AAATGTTAAAATGTGTTGAGAAACATATGTTCTGAAAGGACTTTGATTTCTACAACATGGAGATAATCACATTTGATTTCATAGGAGAGTATTTCATCCATGGAGTTGAGTGCAGATAAATAGGGAAATATACTTTGTTGGATGCAGAATTAGAGATTTTAAGGTGACAATTTAAAATCCCTAATTCAGTCCAGTTGATTGGAAACTGGTGCAAGATTTGTTAGCCGTGAAGGGAGGGAGTATTGGGAGCTTTGGAGTGGCAGCCGATATCCTCCCAAACTAACCATAGAAATAGGGACCAAACTCTGGATTAGTTAATGTTTTTTATAGCACTCAGAAGAGGGTAAAGAATATGATTGCTCCTATTTGACACAAAACAGTTTTTCTATATTTCTTGAAATGATTTTAATTTCTTCACAATCCATATACTCATTGTAAAGGGGAATTATTCTTTCTTAAATTTGAACTCTTCGTCACAAAACTTTGTTTAGTCTTAGTAAATTTAATTTTGAATTTTAGAAATTAGTTTAGTAAATTTAGTTCTTTTAGTTACTTTTTCTTTAACATTAATTAAACTCATTTTAACTTGTTTTTCTACTTTAATTTATATTGTGATTTATGTTATTATCATAAGAATTTTCATATTCCAAACTAAGACTTGATACTATTAGACTAGAATTAGCCTAAGGGATTTCTTACAGTGTTTCTCTGTGGGATCGATGCTAGGGTTTTTAAAAAAGACCCTATATTACTTGAAGTGATACGTGTATGAAGTGATACGTGTACTTGAAGTGATACGTGTACTTGCGTAGAACCACTAGTATGTGAACTATTTTATACATTTTATATAACATTTCTATTTTGCACATTAAATACTTAATATAAATTGGGTCAAGTTTTTTGTCACATTTTGGAAGCTAAATTACTGCTTAATTTTTGAGACAGGTCAAGTTTTTTGCACTGTTACCAAGAATTTAAATTGACATAAAACATGCAAAAAATAACACATTGGGGCGCATCAACTACCATCAACCACCGCCGACTGTCGTCCACCACTGCTGACCGTCGTTGACTACCAACAACCAGACATCGTCAGTCAATGTTATAACTTGGAAAATCTAGTAACCCTTTCTCGTCTGTCGGACAAGAGTTCATCACTACGATTCATGTGCAAATGACTACCTACGTGGTCATTAGCTCATGCTACTCCTGACTCCGGCATTCACAGCTAACAGACGTCATTCATACTCGCCCGACGACCTACGTGGTCCACAATTCGTGCAACTCCCGACTCAGCCCCCGCAGCCTACGAAAGTCATTCATACTCACCCTTATGACCAACATAGCCCACAGTTCATGCAGCTTTCGACTCTGGCCCCCACAACCTACGATGTCATTCATATTTATCTTTACGACCTACATGGTTCACAGCTTCTGCAACTCCCAACTCTGGCCCCCGCGGCCTACAGATGTCATTCATACTCGCCCCAACGACCTTGGTGGTCATCAGCTCATGCAACTACCGACTCCGGCTCCCGCGGACTATGGACGTCATTCATACTTGCCCATATGACCTACGTTGTTCACAGCTCGTGCACCTCCTGACTCTGGCCCCCACAGCCTACGGACGTTATTCATACTCGCCACTACGGCCTATGTGGTCTGCAGTTCCCGCAACTGTTTACTACGATTTCTCTAGTCAATCAACGCTTCTGGAGTAATCATCTACAACACTGACGACGGAGTACTATCTCCACAATAATCAACAATGATCATTGCAAGTTACCGTCACTAAGAACTACAATCAGATTATAGTTATATAACTTTGTAATTTCATCTTCTCGAATTTAGGAGAAGAATGAACATGCATACTCATCATTCATAATAGATTATTTTAATTGGGTCAGACCACGTGGTTTTTTCCTCTTTCGAGGGTTTTTCACGTAAAAACTCTATCTTCTTCTTGATTCTCTTATTTTATCTGTGTGTGTTGAACTCTCGTGCAACACTAAGATAATAATTCATTATCCTACCGCCACAAATTTTCTAGCATGCATCAAATATGAAAAAGTAAAGTTTAGATGATAGATACGTAAAGGATCTGGGTGGCATATATTTATATTGCTCCAAACAAAAAAAAAAAAAAAAAAAAAAAAAAAAAAAAAAAAGGTGATTTTTGAAAATTTAGAAAGAAAAACCGAAAATATTATCGTCCGTGCTTAATATCTCGTCAAAGATAGGCCACGTTGAATGCTTGACTCTTAGTAAATGACAATTATTCTAACAATATTGATTTCAAGTCAAATTGCGGCAGCAAAAAATATTTTAAAAAAAAGGAGTAAAAATAATATAAAATTAAAAGAAAGTTTTTTTTCGTAAATTTTAATTAAAAATATCTTCGCTTCTTTTGTCAATATATTAAAAAGAAAAACCCACAAGAAAATATTCCCGCGAAATTATATAAATATTTTGAATATGACCCACATTATTTTGGTCAGCTTATGCGTGAAATTATTGGTCAGCTTATGCGTGAAATTATGGTATCTTTGGGATGAAAAAATGTTATATCAAGAATCTAATCAGGACCTATCACGTGTACAGACAAACTAATCTTGATAAAAAAATTAATTTACTACATGGGTTAATCTGTCTGTACATGTGACAGACCCTGATTGATCATAATTCCTGATGCAATAGTTTTTTGTTTATGTTGTTTTGTTTTGTTTTTTTTTTTTTTTTTTTTTTTTTTTTTTTTTTTTGTCTATTTTGTACATGAGACCATCACTATTTGGCTAACTTAGCACATCAATATCACATTTTGTAACCCTCAAATAATTTTGAATTTATCTTCATAATTAAGTTAATCTAATTTCAATTCTATGTAATTATGAAGTATTATTAATGAACCAAATAATTAAATACATTATTGATACACTATTTAATTCACTATCATTTTAGATATTATTTCTCGCTCATTTAATGCTCGAAGGCATATGCTTTTATTATAAACTTTAGTTATGCATAAGTTATTTCGTAATAATTTATAAAAATATTTAATTTTTTTTATATTTTCTTCTAATAAATGAATCCATAACAAAATGATTATCGTTTTATTACATTTTTAATTAGTAATAATTGCATTCTATCGTATTCTTACAAGTAGTAATTTTATAATAAGCATCATTTCTCTTAATCCATTATTTTCAAAACGTATTATAAATTTTCATTTTTTTATTCATTTTATTTAAATCTATTTGAGTTTGTAAATTCTTAGTAAAATTATTGAATGATAATTTAAAATGAGATGACTCGAAATAGATTTTGTATACGCCAGAATTACCAGCATGAATCTCTAAGATAATGAATGGCTGAGAATATAAAGCTACTCTTCGAGGTAAGCGATCGACCGACAATTCAACGCCAAACATGAGAAACAACATCTGTAAACTTGAGATAGGTCAAAGCTCTGGAGAAGATTCCTAAGTCGATTACGATAAGATTCACTAAACAAAAGTTTGTAGCGATGTTTTTTTCTCTCTTTCTCTAACTGAAACAATTGAATAAGCCACCAATTTTCTTTTGAATGTAACACCAATAACATAAGAATTTTCCAACCTTCATCATGGAAGTCATCCATTATTGTTCATATCATCTCTTTAATTTGTAGAAATACATAATATATATTTAATACGAAATATACATTACTAATATAATTTTGAAATAATTTTTCTATTTATCATATAAGATTTTTTTTCTCCCAAAAGCTACTCTTAACTTTATATTTTTATGGGATTTTTGATACGGAACCAATAAATTTTCATCATCCTGCACGAATCTCGAAGCATGACATGGATCCCGAGACGATATTTTGAACAAGAAACGTTCAAATCTTGATAAAAAGTCATATAGAGCTCCGATTTCAGTAAAATTATAGTCAAACTGACCGGCTCGATGAGAGGGACTTAATGATATAAAAATTAGTCCAATCCGAGTCAAATCAAGCTCAGATCAAGTCATTAAACCACCCTTGAAAGATTTCCTGACACATTTGGAAAGTCAAACGGCTGTCAAATATGACAAGTTTATACTCAAATCCAAAGACTCAACAAGACAAATCCAATGAGCCCAAGATCACTCAATTCTAACATCATTAAGACACTCAAATGTCCATTAAACGTCGTATAATTGAGGGAAACTCTCTGAACCGTTCGATCAAAATGGTTCATATTCATGCATTAATTGCACCCAGAACATTATAAATAGAGTCATATCCCTCTCATGAAGGGGCATAAAGTTTAGAGATAGCTTGAGGTCTTGAGGAGAAGCTGCAGCTCAGGATCACCATCAATCATCGCCGACCACCATCGACCTCTATCGTCGACCATCGCCGACCTCCGTCATCGATCGCCGTCAACTACCGTTGATCGCCTACAACCCCCGCTGACCGTCGTCAACCTCCACCTACCGTCATCGATCGTCATCGATCGATCACCACCAACCAGACGACGTCAGTCGACATTGTACCTTGAAAAATATAGTTACAATTTCTCGTATGTGGGACAAAGGTTTTCTGTAATCATCAATCAATAGTGAATTTCCTCAACTAGGTCAGACCCCGTGGTTTTATCTTACGAGTTTTCCACGTAAAAACTTCTAGAGTTATCACAATTTTTCTCTATTTCATTTGTGTGTGTGCTTGTGCTGAACTTTCGTACAACGTTAAGACGATAATTTGTTACTCTACTACCATGAATTTTTAGCACTCATCAATTTTAAATAAGATATTCCCTCTATTATGACAATTTTTTTAATACCTAACAATAAAACTAAATGATTTAATATAATTAATGTAAGCACATTATAAAAAATTATTTTTTTCTCAAAAATAATAAATCATTAAATATTATGATTTATCATTAAAGAAAAACAATTACAATTGTCGACTGCCTCTAAAAACAATTACTAGGTCAACCCGTTCACACATTTTGACCATCCATCCCTTTGACTTCTTCTTCTTCCCCTCCTCCTCACATATAAGTTAGGGTTTACCCATCTCCTTCTTCCCCAAAACTCAAGAAAGAAAACAATAAAAAACTATTCCGACGATGCCACCCTTCGACGGCACCACCACCGCCGCTCTCCTCTTCCCCCATAAGCTGCCGGAACCCTCCATCGTTACCCTAAACGTCGGCGGCCGCGTCTTCCAAACCACATCGCAAACCCTAGCCGCCGCCGGATCATCTTCTCTTCTTTCTTCCCCTCCTTCCTTCATCGATCGAGATCCCGATCTCTTCGCCTCCCTTCTCGCCTTCCTCCGCACCGGCCGACTCCCCTCCGCCGCAGCGGCCGACGATATCTCAGACCTCGCCGCCGAGGCCGAGTTCTACGGCATCGATCCTCGTCTACTTCTTTCCTCCTCTTCTTCTTCCTCCTCCCTCTCTCTCCGCCGCTCACTTCTTCTCCCTCTTCCTGGCCGTGATCCCGTCACCGCACTCTCTGCTTCCCCTTCCGGCGAACTCCTTGCCGCCCACGGTTCCAAGATCTCATCTTTCGACTTCTCCCTTCGTCGCCGGAATACTTTCTTAACCTCTCTCCCCGCTGTGGACTCCCTCTTCTCCCTCCGCAACTCTTCTCTCGCTTTCGCCGGAGCAGCCGATTTCCCCGGCCTGCAAATTCTCGACCTCAGGTCCGGCTCTCTTCGCAAAACCCTAAACTGGTACCCCCATCCTTCTGCTCCCGGAGCCACCGTTCAATCCGTCTGCGCATCCGCCGACCGTCAACTCCTTTTCTCCAGCTACGAATCCGGCCGCCGCAACGCCAGCGCTATCCTCGCTTTTGATCTCAACTCCGGCGGCGATTTCCGCCCTGTTTATGAAATCTCTCGCCGCGAGATCTATGGAGCTGAGCTCGATTCCGCCATTCCGGCAACAAAGCTCAAATGGGTTCCATCGCTCAATCTCCTCATGACTGCCGGATCGCACTGGAGTCCTTCTGGTGTTGTCGGTAACATTCAGCTGTGGGACATCCGTGCCGGAGGTACCCCTGCTGCAATTTTCGATTTGAAGGAGAAAGATGACTGCTTTGCGGATGTCACGGTTTCGGATGAGCTATCTGCAATGTTTAAGGTGGGAGCGAACTCTGGAGATGTGTTCATGGCGGATTTGAGGAAACTAGATGCAGGGGAGCCATGGTTTCGGCTTGGCGGAGGGAGTTGGAATGGTGGGAAGAAGGAAGGGAAGGGGTGTAGGATTGAGAGCGAAGGAAGGCAGGTGTTTTGCAGCCGGGGAGGGGATATAGAGGTGTGGAGCGAGGTGGCGATGGCGGCGGCGATGGAGTTTGAGAAGAAGGTGATGAGGAGGAATTTGTTGGGGAGGGAGAAGGATATGGGTGGAGCGAGGATTTTGCAGATGGCTTTTGGAGGTAAAAGAATGGTGGTGGCGAGGAGCGGGGAGTGTTCCGTTGAGGTTTGGGAGAGCTCAGATCGTTGCTGACGGTTGAGAGATTCAGGTTCTTCAGTCTCCTTCCTTTCTGGTTCTGTAGAATGGTTGCAGAGATCAGGTGTTCAGTTTTTCTTCAGTCTGTTGTACAGTGAAGAATGGATTTTTTTTTTTTTTGGATTGATTGATTGATTTTGTTATTTTTGAGTCTGTAGAATGTGTTACAAAGAGGAGTGTTTATACCACTTGAAAAAAGTACACATTTTCATGTATAAGTATGATACTATGTATGTAATTTGACACTTCCTTGCTCCACAGACATTTCTTTCCTATGAGAATATGACCAGTGGTGGCACAATGAGCAATCAACATTTAGGGGTCTCAAATTAGATTGTTTCATGAGACTAGCTAAACTTCATAGAGGTGGTTTGATCAATTTAGGTTCTCAAACATAAATTTCTTCTTTTTGCATAGATTTTAATAACAAGATGTCACTGATCACAATTGTGCATTTTAAATAAGTTTTAGATGCTTGTTTGGGCTTCTCACCAAGTTTATAAATTTATTGTTCAGTATAGAGGCTAATTCTATAAATTATTTTGGATACCATTTAGTTTTGATTTTCAGTATTGGTGGCTACCAATTTAAAATTCATTCACATTTAATTTCAAAAATGATGGCTACAACATAACTTGATTCATTTTTGAGACTCCAAGGGATGGTTACATAACTCAATTCACACTTCATTTTTTAATATGGTTGTTTTTTAACTCTGGTTTCATTCATACTTAATCATTCTCACATCACACATCACACATCACACATCACACATCACACACACCCACTTTGCCTTGAATTAAACACATGGGGTTGGTTGGGGGTCCCCCCTTTGGCCAATATATATATATATATATATAGGGAGGGAAAGAAGAGAGAGAAGAGGGTTAGGTGCTTGTTATGGGAGCTCTTCTACTTGTTCAAGAAGGTAAAAATTTTATTATTTTTTATTCTTGTAAAATAAGAAGCTCTTTGTCATATCAAATAATTGTTGAGAGATTTATAGAAATGTCACCTTTGATTTTATTGTATTTACATTCCTATGCATGAAAATGTGCATTTCACTTTTAAAGAATTAATAATTGTGATATTTTTGATTTGATGTTAAAGATTTGTATGTTATGCATGTAAATATGAAATGCTAAGTATGATTACATAAGAATTGTGCGCTATGTATGTTAATGACTCATAATAATTTTCATGTGGATTTCTACAATAGCTAGGGGAAGAGATTAATTAGGGCAGTATCGATATCAACTTCTTTATATCTAGCTTCACTTTTAGAACAAATGATTGCAAGTTCTCTCAATTAGAAAAAGTAATATCCTTATTCATCGCTCTTATTTTATTCTAAGTGTAATTCTTCGTGTGATTTTTTTGAAGTTTAAAGGATTATTCAACATTGTTGAGTCCTGATTTGTCCGTAAATTATACCAAAGGAATATAGCGTAAGGAGAGAGAGAGAGAGAGAGAGAGAGAGAGAGAAGTGAACAGTAATAAACAATAATACGTCGTGTTTTATTCTTGAAATGATCTCCCTATTTATAAGGAAGATATTACAATACAGTAATTTTACATTTTTTTCACTACTTTAAAGGGGGGCGTACATGACCCTCTTGATATTTTATATTTATGATTCAATCGTTGTGTTATTCTCGGGCTCCGTCGACTAAGTTTGATTGGCTTCAGGTTGGCACGACATGTTCGATCGATTGAGCTTGATCGACATTGTTGATCGACTGATCTATTGTGGTTATCACCTTTGATAATAGATGGGAAGCGGGGGAGGCATCTAAATATTCTTAGTATGATTGAAGATGCTAAGGGGTTGAGTCTTCCATTGGGTTGGCTTCTACGTGGTGATTGACTTGCATGAATTTTTGTCTCGTTTCTGACTAAATGGTTTGGAGTTGGATCGTTTACTTGTCTATTGTGGCCCAATCTACTTTGGTCTTTCTTACTTTGGCTCGGATGACTGCATTTAGTCAGGTAAGTAGGCATCACATTCTTCAGTTGGTGAGCCCTCCCTCGTTATACTCTTCTTCTTTGAACCGTTAAATCTCATCAGGATTAGCGCTGAAATATTTTTTTCATGTGCATATTTTTTAAGTACATATTTTAGCCGTCGGGAGAGGCTGAAATGGTGGGAGTGAGCTTCGTGTAAGTGCTAGAAGGGTCAGATAATTGGGCAGAGTTTCCCCTAGACTAGAGCACTTCTTCCCATTTGGTTGTGAGAGGGGTCTTATTTATATGTCAGACCATAGCTGCCAACAAGGCAAGCCAGAGTGGCCAAAGTGCAGCTTAGGTGGATGGGAATTAGGCGCAAGTGACCAATGAAAGGTTGACACACTGGATGGGTGGAATTATAGTTTAAGCCAAGGAAGGGCTTCTAGGTTTTAGGTTTTCTGGTGACTAGGCCAGTAGGCCAGGCCAAGGGAGGTGGCTAGCAAGTTCAGGAGGTTAAATGAAAGGTTTAATTGTGATTACATTGGGGCTTGAGGGCTGATGGAATGGGATAGAGAGCTTAACCAAATTTAGGAAGGGTTGAGTTTTTCTTTGGGTTGGCTTCTACGTGATGATTGGCTCGCATGGCTTTTTGTCTCGTTTCTGACCAAGCAGTTTGGAGTTGGATCATTTACTTGTCTATTGTGGCTCAATCTACTTTGGTCTTGCTTACTTTGGCTCGGATGACTGCATTTAGTCAGATAAATGGGCATCATGTTCTTCTGTTGGTGAGCCCTCCTCGTTATGCTCTTCTCCTTTGAACCGTTAAATCTCATCAAGATTAGCGTTGAAATGTTTTTTTCATGTGTTATGTACATATTTTAGTGGTGGGGAGAGCTTGAAATGGTGGGAGTGAGCTTCGTGTAAGTGCTAGAAGGATTTGAAGACAATTGGGCAAAGTTTCCCCTAGACTGGAGCACTTCTTCCCATTTGTCCGTGAGAGGGGTCTTATTTATAGGTTAGGCCAAGACTGCCAAGTGCAACTTAGGTGGAGGGGAATTCTGCGCAAGTGACTAATGGGAGGTTGACACACTAGATGGGTGGAATTAGGGTTTAAGCCAAGGAGGGGCTTCTCGGTTTTGGGTTTTCCGTCAACTAGGCCGGTCGACTAGGCCAGGGGAGGTGGTTAGCAAGGTCAGGAGGTTTAATTGTGATTACATTGGGGCTTGAGGGTTGATTGCATGGGATAGAGAGCTTAGCCAAATTTAGGAGGGAATTTGCATGATTTAAGGGACGATTGGTCCATGTCCAAGATTTGGGTGGATTTGGTGATGTGATCAGCCTCTTAGGGGTTGAAATGTTGTTGGTGTAACTAAGCATGAGTTAACTTAAAAAGGAATGGGCTTGATTTAGGGTTAGGCTCAAAATTGGTTTTTGGGCTTAGAATTGGGCTAGGCTTGGTTTGGGCTTGGACCCAAGTTAAGTGAAGGCTCAAATGAGTTTCAAAAATTGTTATAAATATTTTAGGATGTAAATTTGGTGGAATTGGATTGGTCACGTAGGCCAATTTGGTGGAACTTGGTGTTAGTGTCAAAATTAAGCTTTAGGTTTAAATTGAAATTAGGGTTTGAAAATCGGGGGAATTGGGCTAGAATTTAGTCTCACTTGGGCTTGGACATGGTGAAATTTGATTTGGATTTGAAATTGAGGAAGTTTGAAATGAATTTGGTGGAAATTATGGGTGATTTGGAGACTTTGGGCACTTAAAGGAAATTTAGGAATTTTGGCCAATTTTGATGGATTTGGGTGCAATTGGAATACTTGGGTGTTTAGGGTTGGTTTTGGGGTTGTTTGGAGTGAATTTGGATGTTTTAGAAATTTTGGAAAACTTTGGGGGTAGAAGGCTAATGATGGGTGTTTAGGTGGAATTGAAGGCCATTGGAGATGCTAACCATGATATTACCCTCTTTGAGCCATGAGACCAAGGGGAAGCCCACTTTGGATCCTCCATATGCTGGTCCTAGCCATCCTAGCCAAAGGCTAAGTATGGGGGACCACTCGCATGAGTTCCCAAAAGAGAGGGAAAAAGGGTGAATGGTTTTTAGGGTTTAGGATTGTGTGTGTGTGTGCCTGACCAAGACCATGACCAAGCCACCCAGGATAGCCCTAAGGCCTGACAATCTTATGGGGGCTCCCCATGAGCTCCCCCATGTTGGTTTCAACCTTCTAAGTGCTAGAGGTCAACACAAATATGTGGAACCCCAAGAAGAGTAAAGAGATGTTTAGAATTTTTAATGGAATAGGGTTCCATCACTAGTCCTTTAGGATATTCAATAAGAAATTCCTATGGCTAAATCTTAGGCTTCTAAGGAAGAAAAACTAGACCTCAATAAAAGTGAGGTCAACTGTAGCCAACCTTTAGTAGAGAGCATCTTAGTGGTCCCAGACAGTATTAATCAACACATCTTTTTGACCCGAGATTAAAATTAAAGATAACACAAGCCTAACATAGATGTGTCAAATATAAAAATATCAACTTAGCAATAGTAAAATAAGATTCCTTAAGTTTGACTTGAAAATGAGTCAAACACATGCAACAAATACCATGTCAGGCCTACTCATAGTGAGATATAAAGGAGAATTAATCATGTTTCTATAAAGTTTGTTATTTGTATATTTTTTTCTTATTCATCTAAGTCCAAGATAGTTATCAAATTGTCCCAACAAGTCATTTGTGCATTTAATTTGAAATATAAAGGTATCATTCTCTTGTTGTTTTACTTGAAGTCCCAATAAAAAATTTTGCTCTCCCAGTATATTCATTCCCAATTTCTTACTTCTCATTAATGAGAACTCGTGACATAATGTTTCATTTAAGCTTCCAAAGAACATGTCATCAACCAAATTATTTTGTTCTATTAGCTAAACTTGGGACAGGATTATGATGGAGGATTATATAGAAACCCCTTCGCATGTGAGGTTGTCTTCAAGCTATGAGATACAAATGAGATATGATCAACTCATCTTACTTTAAGATCAAATATAATATGTGAGTAAGGTCTATTACATAATACTAAATGATTATATGCACACTTATATTGTCTTCTATCATAAACTTTATTTTCAAATGCACTTATATAAGTTAATTTTGTCATCTTCAAGCTTCTATATATCTTTGAAGCATAGTTTTAGGGTTTTTTTTGGGATCACTTATGTTTGTTTATTTTCAAAACAAGTTAATTTGTTTTTAAAAAGCACTCAAAATACCTAAAAGTTTTTCTTCATGTCTTTTTAAAACACTAGCATATTATAACTTGTCAAATATTTTTCATTTTAAGTATAGACATTAATAAATCAAAACAAAAATAAAAAATTAAAAATTAAAATCAAAAGTAATCCCAAACGGTCATTTAGTTTTGAAAAATTATATTTATGGTTTATTAATAATTATTTCATATCTCGCGCCCTCTACAAATAGAGTACAAGGTTCTACAATTGTAATTATTTGTATTTATGTTATACCTTATGTATGCTAGAGGAAATTAAAGGAGAAAATAAATACTAATAAAGAGAATTTAAGATTGTGAAGATATAGCTTCCTTATATATCATATCTCTTGTCTATTTATATAGCACTAAAAAGCTTCTGAAAACTCATTTATGTAATATTGAAAGTTTAAGCTTGTTATAAATGCAAATATCTAAATTTTTTTTTATGTAATATTAAAAATTTGAGTGATACCAATATGAAACTTAGATGTTAGACGTGCAAACATATAAAAATTGTGTGCATATATATATATATTTTGATGCATGATAGATAATTCACGATGCTAGATAATTCACGATGGTAAAACTTTTTGCAGGGAAACCCTTAAAGGGGAAAAAACCATGGGGTCTAACCATGTTGAAATAATTCACTATGAATGATGAGTACACAGATTGATTCATCTTCAAAATTAGGGAAGATGAAATTAGAAAGTTGTATAATTATAATCTAGCTACAGTTCTTGGTGACATCAAGTTGCAAGGGTCATTGTTGATTGTCGTGGAGATAGTAGTCTGTTGTGAGTGTTGTAGGTGGTTGCTCTAGAAGTGTTGATTGGTCAAAGAAGTCATAATAAGCAGTTGAGGAAGCTGTGGACCACGTAGGCCGTATTTGACGAGTATTAATGACGTCCGTAGGCCGCGGGGGCCGGATTCGGGAGTTGCATGAGCTGATGACCACGTAGGTCGTTGGGGCGAGTATTGATGATGTTTGTAGTTCGTTAGGGCCGGATTCAGGAATTGTATGAGCTGAAGACCACATAAGTTGTAAATGGCACATGGACCGTAGTGGTATGCTCTTATCCCACAAAAGGGAGAGGGTTACTATATTTTCCATGGTCGACGGCGGTCAACAGTGTTCGAAGATTGTCGGCGGTGGTCGACGACGATCATTGGTCTTCGACTGCCGGCGACAGTGTTCGATGACGAACAGAGATGGCCGACGGTGGTTGGCGACGGTGCTCGACTTCAACTCCATTTCAAAACCACAAGCTCTTTCCCAAGGCTTTAGCTCTCCCCTCATGAGAGAGGTGAGACTCTATTTATAGGGTTCTGGGGCAATGTGCAAGAATATGAACCATTTTGATCGGACGATCCAGAGAACTTTCCCCAATTAAACAGTGTTTAATGAACATTTGGATGCTTTAACGATGTCATAATTAAGCAATCTTGGGCTCATTGGATTCATTTTGTCGAGACGCTCGATTCAACCATAAACTTTCCAGATTCGACATCTGTTTGGCCTTCTATATGTGTCCGAAAATCTTCCAAAAGTGATTCAATGACTTGATCTGGGCTTGATTTGACTTAAATTGAACTAGTTTTTATATCATTAGGTTCATCTCATCGAGCTGGTCAGTTTGTTTATAAGTTTGTTGAAATTGGAGCTCTGGATAACTCTTAATTGATGTTTGAATGTTATTTGCTAAATATATTACCTCGAGATTCGTGTCATGCATCGATATTTGTGTCGGATGATGAAAATTTATTTGTGGCGCAATTGATGTTTAAATGTTTCTTGCTCAATATATTATCTCGAGATTCATGTAATGTCTCGATATTTGTGGGGAATGATGAAAATTTGTTAGTGTATTTCTAATTTTATTTTACATGCATATCATTCAATTCTTATGTATTTACAAATATAACACAACTTTAAATTTTACATGCACATTATCATATTAATACATGAAAAAGTGTATTTCATTTTTTAAGTTAAAATGATAATATTTTTGATGTGATATCGTATAAATGCAAAAAAAACTCTAGGTGTTAGACATCTAATTACACAAGATTTTGGTGGTATGTCTGTAAATCCTAACGTCACTTGTCTCCATTGATGGAAAATGCGACCGAATTGAGCCCTAATGCTTCACTCCTCATCGTCTTCCTCGCTTCGGCATAGTGTTAATTGTGGGCAACATCATCGCACACTTCCAATGGTTCTTGTTTCTCGAAAGCGAGAAGATCGGGATCTCAACATCTCTATGCTGCAATCAGAGAAGTCGACGGGGAATAAGGTAACAGGGCTCAGTTATGTCTTATTTTCCTACTTTTTTGCTGGCTTCGCCGGAAGCTGGTAGTCCATTTGAGAGAAGGAGCACAAGGCAAACTTTTAGGTATATATTGTGGGGTTAATGTTGATTTGTACTTAACTTTTTTGAGGCTGTGGGATTCCTTCTGAAGCAAGATGCGTTGTCTGGTTGTTTATGAAGAAAAAATTAGAGAACTGGAGTGAGAAAAGATTGAGAACCGGGACCACAGAGAGGAATGCTTGAACAATTCCACCATGAATTCAGAGTGAGGAAGAACATGGAGTTGAGAGTCGCTAACAAAAGATAGAAAAATTAGAAAGTTTGTTCAGTACACGAGAAAAGATGTATTCCATGAGAATTCAAGAAGAATTTCTCATTTCAGTTTTTGAGAATCCAATTTACCAAAAACTTCTTGAGGAAAACTTTTAGGATTGAGTTGAGTTTTGTCTAGAAAACTTGTTTAAAAATTAAGACTTTCTAGCTATGCAAGCCACTTTGGTATGTTGGTTGAGAGCTTGGTCTTTCAACTAAGAGATCCTAGGTATAACTTCTTGTATATGCGGTGTGCATGTGTTTGTGATTAAATTCGCTCAAATTTTCAGGAAAAAAATGATATTCTAGCTCATGGATGGGATAAGAAGATAATTTTCAAAAATATGATGGAAAAGTTGAGTTCTAAAGATAGTGAAGGGGGTGAAACTTCAGCAAATGTTCAAGCTTTATATAATTTGTGTATATATTTTGATTGTATTGTCTCTTTAATCAAAGAAAGTTTGTCTAAATTTTTTTTGCATTCCATTCAGTGATTGGTGATTATGATTAATGCTCTATTGTTGCAATACATATTTTGATTCAAATTTTATACCATCATTGTCTTTAGTATACTATCTTTGGTTAAGTCGTTGTCTTTAGTATTAGGCCAATTTTTTGTGGATCTTATCATAATCTTTGTTGATGTCATCATTTAGATTTGTTATAGGAAGGACTTGCATGCTACTTATTGTTGATCTTGTTACAAAACAGGGAGCTTAACTTTTTGGGCTTGGCTAATAGTCCGATCGTATATTAAAAGTGCAGGTAATTCTTGATGTTTTTATGCTAATCAGTAGTTAAAAATTATATAATTGTCAAACAGATTTTTTCTCATTCAATATCTATATCTTGATCAATATTTATATCTTGATGTTGAGATCATATCGATTTCTTTCCTCTTTGAGGACTTGAAATAAATCTGGCATTGATTGAAAATAGTGTTGTCAATTTCAAAGAATCATAGATGTATCAAGGAAATTATTTGAATTAAATTGCTAGGAAATGACATGCCAAAAATAAATGCATTATTCTTTCATTTATAAATAGGTAATGATGCATAATGCTTGTTGTGCTCTCTCTATTTTTCATGTTGTTATTGTGTTCTTCATCTCTTTCTTTGAATAAGTGGGTTGAAGACGAATTCTCCTCCCCATTCTCACTTTGCTTTTCCTTTTTATTTGTTGGTGTTTGAATGATGGAGCACTTTACTTGTGTTCGAAGGTGGTTGATATATTTATTCCTTCAACATTCTTTATTCTCTAGGCAAATGAAGAGCTTCACAGTCCAATCATTTTCTGATTCACTCTACTTCAACTTAGCAAGCCTTTGCCAACCAATGGCTACAAGTATTAGCAACTCATTTTTTTTTACTCTTTCAGCGGGTTTTGGACACTCAACATTAAAGGTTATAAGACTCAAGTTAGAAGCATCCCAACCGCGACGCCAAATATGAAGACGGCCAGACAAGGTGCTAAGACGGCCAGACTGAGCCCAAATATGAAGACCGCCAGTCGTCGTACCAAGATCGCCCTGCTAAGCCCAAATATGAAGACAGCCAGACAAGGTGCCAAAATTGTCTGACTGAGCGCAAATATGAAGTCAGCTAGTCACAGTGCCAAGATTGCCCAACTGAGTCCAAATATGAAGAAGGCCAGTCGCGGTGCGAAGATCGCTCGGCTAAGCCCTAACATGAAAAAGGCATGTTGTGGCACCAAGACTGCCCGGTCGAGCCCAAACATGACGAACATTCGCAACACAGATCGCCTGCCTGAATCCAAATATGAAGACGATTAGTTGTGGTGCCAAGATCGTCTGGTTAAGTCCAAATATGAAGTTGGTTAATCACGGTCCCAAGATCGCTCGGCTGGGTCCAAATATGAAGATGGTCAGTTGTGGTGCCAAGATAGCCTGGCTTAGCCCTAACATGAAGATCACCTGGTTGAATCCAAATATGAAGACGACCAGTTGTGGTGCCAAGATCGTCTGGTTAAGTCCAAATATGAAGTTGGTTAATCGCGGCCCCAAGGTCGCTCGACTGAGTCCAAATATGAAGATGGTCAGTTGTGGTGCCAAGATAGCCTGGCTTCACCGTAACATGAAGACGGCAAATCGCATTGCCAAGATTGCTTGGCTTAGCCCAAATATGAAGACGGTCTGTCGCGGTGCCGAAATTGCCCGACTAAGTTCAAATATGAAAAAAGTCAGATAAAACGGTCGATCGAGGCTCCAAGATCACCCGACTAGTTAAAAGTATAAAAGCTACCAAACCACAAAGAAAAACTTGAATCAGAAGTAGCCCTAGAGGCATGCCACTGCTTAGTAACAAGAATAATTACTTAATATCCCTACATAAACCCTGTGCGAGGCGTGACAAGCTCTGTAAAGGATACGGCGTAAAATACTTTAGCGCATAGCCTAGGTGGTGACATTAGTTAAGGCGAGAAAAATAGGACTTAAGCCAAGCCGAAACAACTCAAAAACTACAGAGCATCGATCAATCATCAACACATGACCGAGCAAGACCCTCAAAAAGACGTGGCAAAAGAAAAAAACCAAAAGGTACAAAAGAAAACCGAACCGCTTCATTACCAAAGAAATATGCAATTTTTATATTTACCAAATGGTCATGCTTATGAAAAAGTTGTCTATACGAAATATTTGCAAAAGTATTGTTTAAAAGAAAAACGTAAGATTTCGGAAGCAAACTTGAGGAGCCTTGCTTGTTTTGAGCGACTGAATCGTCCTCGGATGACTATTTAGAACTAGAGAACATAGTTGCAAACTCTCTAGGGTCGAAATACTTTGGATCAACCAAACCCAACCAGACGAACTAATCAGTTGCCATCAAGCATGTACTTATGTGATGTGGGTTCTAAGGTGCTAGATGAGCGGAACCATGTGACAGGGACCAGGAGTTGTTTGTTCATGTCTTGTTCCTTAATTTTAAATCTCATTTATGTATAGAATTAGAACCAAGCATGTACTTATGTGATGCTTAGCTGTTTTTTTTCTATTTGTGAGATATGTTGTCAACTTAGCGATACCAGCCTTTTATTCTTTCATATTTGGCTTGTTTTACTGTCCTTATTGCATGCCTGTGTGCTTGAATTACGTTTCTGTCATTTTTACTTTGTAGATTGTTTGGAAATCATGCAGATCATTTAGGATCTCTCAGGACCTAAAATCAAAAATTTTCTTGCAATATCCTAATAAACTTTTTAAGATTAATAAAATCCAGGATTAAAACATTCAAGTTTAAAATCTACCTTTTACTTTCTTTCATGGACTTTGGGCCGGTTTTATAAGAGGAGGCATAACATGGGCATATCTCAAGTCATATTAATAAAGCCTCCATGCTTAGGGTTGTGATAGATAGCTGCATCATATGCATGTCCCGAGGAGAAGCCCTCATGCTTCTTTAACCCGACCGACTTAGCATAGATTTCTACTTAGGTGGTTGTTTAGTGCAAGTTGGTCGTCAGAAGGCTCCCCGACCCAGACAGGGTGTAAGTCTTTTTATTGGAAGCGTTTCCAGCTTTGTAGTTGAACATTCCTTCCTCTTCCTTTCCAGCATCATCCTCGCCACTTTGGCAAGTATATGTACCACCTCTTGGAGCTACACCTGATATTCATGGGATAAAATTTTGTTCCTTTGACCTTAGGGCTACTGATGTCCCTGCGGATGATGCAATTCACGGATTGCAGACCGGGGATCTCAAGACGTGTTGGATCGACTACCTTCAAGACCAGGTAGATTTAGGATTCTAGTGGCTTAGGATGATGAGTATGTGGTACACCGACCTGACTACCTCTACCTGTTAGGGATTACTCCTCCCTTCCTTTGACTACCCCTATTGAGCCATGTTGCTCATTTTATCTTCGTTGGTATCATCTCGATTGTCTGATCACTAATGAGTTCTTACACGTTTGGGATACGACGATTTGTCCTCTACCCTTATAACCTGGATGTGCTTTGACGTATCGGGACTCCCAATCGAGATGATTCAATTATTTCGTAGGCTCTGTGTGCCGGTGAGTTTGTTACCTATGTGGGGACCGCAAGAGACTGACTCTCCATCCCGTGGCTTAGTGAGAACTTTGAAAGCATCGGGACATTCCCCTGTGAAAGAACTATCTTTGATAGTCATATACTAGTAGTCACTACTAATGTAAGCAAAACTCCTTTGGATCAAGAGTATTATTGGGCAACTCCTACGATGTAATTAACCTAGTATACGTCCCGTTGGGAGCACTCTAGACCCCACAACATGCAAACAAACATTAATCTCTGGTTATGGGTAATCTATGTAGGTATTCTTTCACAAATATTGGTCCAAGGTGCCTATGCCCGATTTTGTTTAGGCGAACATACTTAACATATCCTTGCGAAGTTTATCACACGTAGGCTTTTCATATTCTATTTCTCTTTGTTTGTCTTCTTCATTGTAAGTCTCTGCATTTGTAGTTCATTTCTTCGCCGGATCTTTCTTATGATTCAGACGAGAGACTTATTCGGAAAAGATAATTATACAACGATTGGCTAACTGACGACTCCTTCAAAAATAAGAAAGAGAAAATAAACAGAAACAAACCCAATCCAGATCGCATGATTATCATAGCTCTCTACTAATTAGTCAACAAACCTAATCTGAGGATCTTAATTATCTGCACCTATAGAATGCATCCTTCAATGACACTTTATAGATCTATGGTAAATGAATCCTAAACTCTATGGGTAAATAGCCACTATAAAACTTTTCTCCCACTTAAAAATGATAGATGCCTTTCACTCGAACTTACAAACTTGTTCATGAAAGATGAAGATGCCTGAAAATTGGACAAATATTTTGTCTAGGAAGGAACATTACTACCCTTCTAAGAGCATTTTTGAAGTGATATTAGCATAATAAATAATGCGAGGACATAAACACATACTATGTGCACTATGCAAAAGTGGGGGTATCTTATAGAGCAAATATATTAAGATGTTTTATACTTACAAAGCAAACATATTCTACCAAATAATTTAGCTAAATATCTTAACTAAATATCATAAACAAATATTTCAGTTAAATATCTGATCTTCAAAGTTGAATTTTAATTCAAATTTCACTGAGTTTGTAATAAGTTAACATTATCTGGCATTTGGCTCATTATGAAAAGAGCCTTTTTTTTATTTCAAATAATTTAATTGTGAAACAATCTACCTAACAAAATATTAGTTATTAGTAAAGGGTAATTTTTAATATATAAATTCAATTATTTATTTTCAGAAAAAACAACTTTGGCCTGTTTCAATTATATACTGGATAAAACCTTGTTATTATGGCCTAATTTTTCTGTGTGGATTCCTGACGTAGCTCTACGTGCCGCGGAGGTTATTCCTGAGTTATTTTCAGGTTATTTCTAGATTATTTTCAATAATCTCCAAATAATCCAGAAATAACCCGCGGTCTTTATTTTGGGTTATTTTTGGGTTATTTTGAGATTATTGAAAATAACCCAGAAATAACCTGAAAATAACTCAGGAATAACCTCCGCGGCACGTAGAGCTACATCAGGTGTCCTGACAGAAAATGCGCTCGCTATTGTGACCAGTTGCTGGTGTACAAGATCAGTTCAACTATTAATAAAAATTTAAAAAATCAATTTAATAATATCATTCTAATTATTTTAACAACTAAAACTAAAGTTCCCCTCTTCATAAAATCACCATTATCACAAGAAATCATTATTATAACAGCACCTTATAATTCATAGAACTATTATACAAATTTTGATTAAGACTAATTTTGACAAAGTCTTATTTTGTTGCATTATATTATTTACAGTGCAATTTAAATAGCCATCATCTTTCCCATAAAAAATGAACCAATTGTTGTACTATTGTTTATGATAGTTATCAAATAATGAAACACAGGTGTAGAAAAAGTATATAATAATTTATTAAAAATTATAATAAAATTATTGTCAAAATTTTCTAAGAAAGAAATATTTGCATGCATACCATTTAAATCTTATTTATTTGCAAATCGAGCACCTATATTTCAATTTTTTACGTATGTATGTCATCTTACTTATGCATTAAGCACTTTTTAAAAGTTAAAATGGTAATATTTTAGGTGGGTTAAGAAAGATTTTGATGGTATAAATCTAAAAAGTTATATTTTATAAGGTGTTAGATGTGTAAATATATATGAATGTATGTATCTATGTTTGTATCAATGTATACATATGTGTATGTATGTATTTATGTATATATATGTATATGTATCCATAGTTATAATCCTGCCACTATAGCTACTACTACTAAACTTACATTCCATGTATTCAGATTTATATCTACTCACATGAAGACCTTTAGCCTCCAATGCAGACCTCAATAACTCAAGTTTTTCTTGAACTTTCTCTAGTCTTGCCTACAAGAAGGATATCGTCAACGAAAGCATATACCAAGGTACGTCCTCCTGTAAATGTCTCGTAAGAGCATCCACAACTAAAGCAAAAGGTTATGAGCTTAAAGTTCATCCCTAATGTAATCCAACTGAAATAAAAAAATACTTGATCAATCCTTCTTATGTTTGAGCACAAGTAACAACTCTAGTATACTTATCTTTAATGACTTTAATATAAGTCATATCAACACATTTCTTCTCTAGAACTCTCTAAAGGACTTCTCTTGGAACCTTATCGTAAGCTTTTTTTAAATCAGATGTAGATCCTCCTTATTCTCTCTATACTTCTCCATCAAACCTCTCAATAAATGTATAGCTTCTATAGTAGACCAGCTCAGCATAAATCTAAACGGATTATGACAAATCTTTGTATTGCATTTTTAATCTATATTCAATTATCCTCTCCCATAATTTTAAAGTACGGCACATCAACTTAATTCTTCTATAATTTGCACACTCTTGTGTATCCCTTTTATTCTTAAACATAGGGACCAAAATACTCTTCATCCACTCCTACGGCATCTTTTTTAGTTTTTAAAATAATATTAAAGAGTTTAGTAAGCTAAGAAACTCTCAAATCTGCTAAATATTTTCACACTTCAATCGGGATATCATCAATTCCTACTGAGTTTACACCCTTGGTTTTTCTTAAAGCATCGTCAACTTCTTTTTTACTAATACGACGGTAAGAATAAAATATTTTATTATTATTAACGATATTAAGATCACTAAGATTGATCGTATTTTCAGAAACTTTATTGAAAAATTTATCAAAATAGTTCACCCACCTATATTGAAAATCTTCCTCTAAGTACTTTTTAATTTTCATCTTTAATACACTTTACTTAATTAAATTTTTACTTTTCTTTTCTCTTTGTTTGGTTAATTTATACATATATTTTTCACCCTCCACAGTATCTAATCTAAGATCAATAAAAGTAGAATTTTTAGTGTCACAAATTATTTCCCCCTACACGCCACTTTATATTTTTCTTAATTCTCTAAGTTTTTACAGTTAAACCAATTTTTATAATACTTCTTTTATTTTATCTCTTCTTGCAAATTATTAATCCACCGTCAACTATTTTTATTTACGAAAATCTTTCCTTTTGATCCTCCAAGTATAACTTCTGTCATTTATTTAGCAGTGTTTGTAACTTTCTCCCACATGAAATTCATTTCTTCATGAACATCCCAAATTTTAAAATCTTAAAGTTTACTCATAAAAATAATTTTATTTTTACCTTTTAAGTGCCTCATCTAATTTTATGATAACGATGTCTTGCATTTTTTATTTTACAACTCATCTTAAAATCTAGAACTAATAATTGATGTTGAATACTTAAGAACAGTTTAAGACATCATGTTAAATTAAAAAAAGTTTTATTACCACTTCATTATCTTCAAAACATCCTAATTCTTTTCAACTATAAATTGAAAATATTACATATTTTAGCTACTCTTTTTCATAATTTATCTTATATTGCGAATTATATATTCAAACACTTCTCATGATTGAAATGCTCCTTTAAGCAAATTGAAAGTATAGATTTGAAATAACATTAAGGAAACAAAATTAATGATAAACTACATAAATATCCTTTTAAATGTATTATAGAAACCTTTATTTCCTGAAAAGAGGAGGAATAAAAAAGGGTCTTATTTTTTAAAGTTAAAAAGGGGCATTTACACACATCCACCCAATTCCTATGTATTTACATATAACACCTAATTACATTTTATACATTTACACCACCAAAATCTTTCACATCACATCAAAACTATCATTTTTTTTTAACTTCTAAAAAGTGAAACACACCATTTCATGCATAAAATGGTATATTAGTAAATATTGAAGTGCTAGCTATGTAAATTCATATAAATTGAATGGTATGTAGCTAACACTCAATACTACTGAAATTTGAGAAAACAAAACATGAACATGAAAAGCATTAAATGATAGCTAACACTCAATACATCTGAAGAAAAGAAATCAAAACAATTATACAATGCATGCATGTCACCTTCCCCTATAATCCACAGAATCTTGAAGAAAACATTTCAATAACTCCTATTATCCAATCTAGTTTTCATCTTCAGACGAAATTTTACATTAATGAACATCTGACAGAAGAATTATATAAAAGGACCTAATTGTCTTTGTATGGCAGACAAGATTAATTCTATCACATCCAGAGTATCAGGAAAGGGAAGAGAAGCTATCAGCAGAGCAGAACCTCCTTTAATTAGAAAAAAAAAAAGACTTATTATGATATTAAATCTTATTTACAGCATGATCTTCATCTTCCAAGACCAAAATCCCCAATCTCTATCAACTTTCATCACCAGCAGTTAGTTTACACAGCAGCAGGTTATTCAATTAATGAGTTCTTTCAACAAAACCAAACTTGAGCTGGCTCCAGGCTGAACCAGAGTGCAGAATGCCCAGTTCTTTATCGTCTCCATTCTCCGTCTCGACGTTAAACTTGAATTCCTTGGATGCTTCAATCTCAGACACATTGTGGCTGATTCCATTTGGTGTATGTTTATCTCTTTTAGCTATAGCCTCCCCTAAATCCATTGGAGACACCGGAATTACATCAATGGAGGTTTCGGGTTGCTTTTTCATGCGCTGAGCGAACTCCCGTGCTGTAAATTCAAAAGCAACATCCTCATCATAGTTTCCAGCGGAGTTGGCGAGTATGGATCCACTCTCATCAAGAAAAGGGTGAATTGCCGTGATCCGGCCGTCGAGAATCGAGCCGTTATCTTTTGCAGCTCGGCCATTGAGAAGCTTGCTCTTAGTGAAGTCTTGAGCAGTCAGAATCTTAGGTGGCTGAACTGAAGGATACAATTCCATATCAGGAAATGGGGAAGAAGTGCCGGAACAAATGGAGCCCGGTGAAATTAAGTGACCTATAGGGCTCCCCGGATGGAGCTGATACGGATGGAAGTCATAAGGCTCGGTTATTTTGCCATTGGAATTGAATGATGGAGACAAGAGCTGCGCGAATGGAACCTCCGGCGAAGATGGAGTTGTGTGCTGCAGGGGTTCTGGAGGAGTGAAAGGAGCGGTGGAGGGTTCGGTGGTGAAGTTGGAGAAGACGGGTGGGGAGACTAACTTGGTGTCATTAGCGTAGGGGCCAATGGCGAAGATGGAGGATCGTGGAGGAGAATAGGAGTTGGATGCGAGGGAAGAGAGGGAGAAGAATTTTGCGGGTGATTGCATGGTGGAGGGAGGCTCTGAGTGGAGGAAAGAAGAGGGGGAGGAAGGCGGAGCGACTATGAGTCCTGACGATTGGTTTGAGTTAGCCAAAGTGGGTGAAATGGGGTCTTCTGTGGGCTCGGGAACGAGGACTGATTGACTGATACGAGTTGGTTGGCTGTGAGATCCAAAGCACCAGTATGCGTCTAACCAAGCCTTCCATCTTCTCCTCTGCAACAAATAGAAAGAGAGGTTAGGATTTACTTGACAACCAAAAGTGCTCTAACTCAACTCATAGCGCATGATTAGAATGAAACCAAGCAAATATTGACAGAGATGTAAATATCCCATTGCCAAAAAAGGGCAAAGAAAGAAATCCATGGCTAGAGACACTCGATGCAAATCTACGAATTGATTAAAATAGAGAAAAAACCAAGAAATTGATAGCAATTTCATAAAATAAGGTTAAATTAGACACATTGAAAATTGGATTAATGTTATAATTTTGTAGTATTTCTAAATGGAGACATTATTTCCAATGTGTTAACCAATTTTAAATGGCAATGCTCTTTTCCCATTTAATTTCTTAAAAGGTTCCTAAAAGAAGCCCTCTTTAAGGGTCTGTTTGGGGCAGCTGCAACTTATTGAATAATCTGCTGATAAGCTGATTAAAAATAATTTGCTGATGAGTTATGTGCGATGACTACTACAAATTTTTATTTTTTTGGAAAAGCTAGACCTCAGCCAGAAAGCTGCCAAAACTCAGTTTACCCAAACAGGTCAGGTGCATTTTCAAAACGCCACTACACCAAATAAGCTGCCCCAAACGGACCCTAAGTTTGAATATACAACTATTTCATCACCAACTTTGAACTCGAATTGCTTATTTGCATCGAACAAAAGCAAAATATTAACATAATTCACAACAATTTTTTTTGCAAATATCCTCATGCTACTCATGCAAACATTGCTGGTAACTCTTCTTCCAATTAATCTTAGAAAATATCAAAGCACTAGCATATCATCCATAATGGGAATATAAACTCTAAATTTACTAATAAATTTGTTGATGACTACCAACCACATATATGCCAATTCCCATATTTTTTAGATCCAAGCAAAACTAGAAAAATATATAGACTCGTGCTCCCTCTAACAAATCCCTTCTTAAATAAATCATTATCATATTTCTTAAGCTCAGCAAATTCAGTTGGATTTATTTAATGATGAGACAAATTGAGCAAATATGACCCACGAACAAATCAATAGCATATTTTATATCCTCAAGTGGTGGAAATTAATTAGAAAGATCATTAAAACAAATACCTTGAAAATCATTAATAATTATTAAATGTCATATACAAAGTTATAATGTCAGACAACATTCGACTAAGTAGGTACAAAGCCATATATCACACCATCAAATATGCAAAGGCTTTGTTCTTCATTAGAAGCACTAGATTCTATTGCAAACTCAACTCTACGATAGATTTTATAAGTTTTAGAACTAATTTTTTTTCCCATCAGTCTTGAAACCATAAATATTAAAAATCCGGAGTAAAATTTATATCATATGATCAACTTCTATCCAAAATAGCATAAACAAAAAAAATGGCAGCACGTTACATCAAATTTCATCAATACAGGTAGCAAACGGAATAGGAATTATTTTCTTTGAGAATAAAAAATAGTAGTTTTATCTGCCCAGACTATCTTACATAGTTTCTCCATACATAGCCAACACGTTTTAGCTTTGCTCGGCCAGTTTCAGTTTTATAAATCTCACTTATTGCTCATCAAATAGATATTGTTATTTACAAATTCATAATCAAAATCAATTATTCCACTACTCTGTCAAAAGAAAACTTTAAGATCAATTTCATAATTAAAAGTAAACACTGCAATTTTAATATTTTTAGATCAAGTCATCCTCTAAATCAGAACTGGCACTCATGATTTAAGCAAACCACATTATTAAACACATTAATTTCTATTTTAATTACTTCCCCCATCCCTTACATTATTAAACACAGTATTACCTTCTAGTTGAATTCATAATTATGATTGAAATCGACTCTAACTTCATATGCAGGAACTAAAATGGTTTCCAAATGTTCAATTCCAGCTTTAACCATATAATACTTATTATTATTTAATAATTCAACCAACTGATTTTATAGTGCTCAAAAGCTCATTGTTGAATCATTTTAGAACATCGGGTCATGTAATGTCTATGGGTTATGCCCAAATCCTACTAACATTGAGCAGAAGAGGGAGAGAAAGAGAGAGGAGTAACTCTGTGGGAAGAGAGCCCTTTCCCCTCATTGTTTAAACACTTGACCCCTATTTATAAATCATGGGGTGTCCTTTTGTCATGGTATAAATTACAAAACAAAAATATATAAAGATAAATAATGTTCTATCGCCTCTTTCAACTTTATATCATGTCGTGGAGCTTTACATCATATTCTGCAGCTTGATGTCATGTTATCCATATAACTGAACTCGACAGCTCGGCAGATGAGCTTGGCAACTCGACAGCTCGGCAGATGAGCTTGGCAACTCGATAGCTCGGCAGATGATCTTGGCAACTCGCCAGCTTGACAACTTAGCAGCTCGGCAACTTGCCAGCCAGGGAGCTTGACGGCTTGCCAACTCGATAATTTGGCATCTCGATAGCTCGATATGCCTTTTTAGGTGTATATTTTCACAATTCTTTTTCTTTAACAAGAAATTGCGAAAAGAATAAGAAAATGAAAAACATGAAGCTATGCATTGCTCGTCTCTATAATATATTTGTATACTTCTTTTATCTAAAAAAATGAATTTATTAATACGAACTAAAACTATTTTGATATAAATGAGTGGTATATTTCACTATGTATTGACTATACATCCTGGGGGCACTTTGGTTACACCTACAGGATTTTGCTCTGCAAACATTATAGCTCACCTTCAAAGATTTTATAGTTGACTTAATTGTCTTGTAGGGAGAATTTCCTGAGAGTTATCAGTAAAAAAAAAATTAATCATCTTTTTTTTTTATGTGACTAGATGAACTATTTCTATATAATATAACTCGGTCATACAAGAATTAAAATAATTTTGTTAAATTCGGACTATCATTCACCTAGAGGCAATTTGGCTAGACCTATAGGATTCTGTCTTGAAGGATGGCTCATCTTCAAAGATTTTATAATCGACCTGAATGCCTTATAGATAGAATTTTTTTATGTCTTATAGGGAGAATTTTCCGAGTATTATCCGTAAAAAATAAATTTCATCCCCTTTTTTATGTGACTACATGGACTATTTCTGCATAATATAATTCATTTATATAAGAATTAAAATAATTTCGTTAAATTCAGACTATTCTTCACCTAGGGGCACTTTGGCTACACCTATAAGTAGTAGTTGTCATAAGTTTTCAACATTACTTAGGATAAGATCACGTGCTCTTCAATCCTTAAGTTAATTAACTTCATCATTTATTCAGCTAAGTTATATTTCGAAAACTATTTTTCCAAAATCGTCCCTAGCAATTGGGTATCGAGCTGAATAGGGTGTAAAGTTTGGATAATCATTTTTTGCTCTTAAGAAACTTGCTTATGAGATAAAAGTTCCTCGATTTACCAAAAAAATATTTTGAAAAATGAAAGCACTAATGAAAAATTATATAGAGCAAGTTAGATGTAGAAGAGTTTAAAGAGTGTAAAAATGAAATATTTAAGGATATATATATTATCTCATCTGGTGAAAATTCCTCTAGTATGATCTTTGTTGTGCCTCTAGAGACATCTACACAACTTCAAATTTAAAGCATATATTTATGCTCGCCACAACTTTCAGGATATTGAATCCTTTTAAAACGTCGAGTCTTGTAATGTCAGTGGGTTATGCCCAAATCTTACTAGTATTGAAAAGAAGAGGGAGAAAGAGAGTTGGGAATAGCACATGGGAAGAGAGAGCCCTTCACCCTTGTTTAAGCATTTGACATTTATTTAGAAATCATGGGGTGTCTTTTTATCATGATACAAAATAAAAATACATACAGATACATAATGTTATGTCACATCCTGCAGATTACATCATCTTCTGTAGTTTTATGTCATGTCATTCTATAGCTGAACTCAGCAACTCGGTTGGTGACTTTGACACCTCGGCAGCTTCACATGTGAGCTTAGCAACTCGGCAGCTTGGCAGCGTTGTATCTCGCCAGCTTAACAACTTGGTAGCTCGACATATCTTTTTAGGTGTATACACTCATCCATTTCATGATTTGTTAAGTTGTCATAATATTTAGTCCCACTAATGAGAGATATATAAATAGTACATAATGTTTTGATACTAATTTGATGCTAGATACTCAAAATATCTAGGGTTTCAAAGGCAATTAGGACAAGGAAAAAAATTTAAATTACAAAAAGGAGAAAAGTATTCACAAATCAAGGAACATTAAATACACAAAAACTCATTTTCTTTAGAGGCAAACTAGAAAATATTAGAGTATAAACTAAAACGAGAATGCAATAATCAATTACATCCAAATAAATCAAGAACAAAATAGGCTAAAAAAATAAGAAAGCAATAGAAAGGTCGCATCAAAATCAAACAAAATTTGAATTGTTGCCAAACTGATCAAAATCAGGATTCTTGCATAACCAATATCAAAATAATAGATATAAAATAAACTAATGAAACAAATCACCGCAAATTATTGAAGATTAAAGCCTCCAACCAAAACAAGGAGATGATATCCCCAAAAATTTAGTTATTTTTATATTACACTACGTAGAATCACATATCCAACAAAAGCACCCAAGCTTAAAACTAGAAGTAAAATTTTACTAAATAAAAGCTACTTCACAAGCCCCAGCTATCTATTTAAAAATTTTATAAACGTAGATTGGTAAATAAAATTGACATAAAATCAATTCCTAATAAGTATAGCAAACTAAAATTCTTTTTTTTTTTATAGAAACATGGCAAAAGAACTTTTGTTTGGACTGCTCTAGAAAAGTAATTCCAATCCTTTCAACAGCAGAGTAGAATGAAGCCATGAAATAAATATGAAAATGGGATGAACCTCATAATTATTGCATCGCAAAACATTCAAAAAACCTATAGCAAGCAACCGAGGAAATGGGATTCCTTCCATCCCCGTGCAATAATTCAAAACGTAACCCATATACAGAGAATCATGTACAATTTCTATCCTGAAATTAAGCCAT